AAAAATAAAAACATTGGTCTCTAACTCCCCTGATTTTTCTTTCATAGGAATGTGTTTGCATTTTCTCTCTAGGGCAGTGAGGTAACAAAGCATACATTTTTTTTCCAGTCTGCAGAAGAGTAATAAAACGAGCTATAATTGAAGTAGTGGTCCGCAGATAGCGGTTTTTGTTTTGTTTGTTCGAGATTTGAATGATCAGGATCCCAAAGAGATGTGCAGAAGAGAGTGGCTTGTCTCCTTCCTTGGAGTATGAGCCAAAACAAATCAGCCCCTGATGGTCTGGGCTGCAGCGCGGCTCACTGGATAATTAACTCCATCTTTCCAGTCCACCCTAACTGTTTATTTAGTGTCACCCTGCATTACTGTCACTAGCACTTTCCTCTGAACAGGAGGAGCTGCAGGCGTTCACCTCCCAAAAGGAAATTCTTCTTAGCTTAGACAGATGTGGTACTCAGGATGTACATTAGTTGAGAGAGAGGGAGGGGAAAGTTGATTGAAAATCCAAGGGAAGATAAGCACTCTCCAGAGTCCTCAATTTCGTAAACTTGCTCCAAGGTAATATTTAAGGGGAAGGGGGGCCAGCCAGTGTGTCCAGCATTCTTAAGAAGCCATTGTGTGTGACACCTCTTTTTCCAGAAAGGTACTTGCCACCTAATGTTGAATGGGAGCTTATGGTTCAGATTCGACCATTGGCGGCCCTAGGCTGAGGCTGAGCAGCAGAAGTAACAGAAAGAAATAAGCAAAGGGGTGGGGGTAAATGCTGAGTAGTGGTAGGAGAACAGTCAGAGTGGAGAGCGAGTGAATGACACCTCAGGTACAGACAAAATACCCCATTTTTCTTTGAGTAGCACAGGGAGTGAGACTCCGAGAGACGGACCATCACGCCTCCCAACCACAGCGACCAAGCACCCCTTTTCTTTCCCCTCTGTGTCTTTTCAGTATGAGGAGGGGAGGGGACTGGGATAGGAGCTCAGATTGGTGGAGAACGGAGCTAGGATGCCTGTGTTTGGAGGTGTCATATTCTGTTCCTCTGTGCTTCTCGAGGCAGTGTGGTCACTGAGATGGCACGTTCTGGAGCTGCTCACGGTGGACAGAAGACAGGGTTGCAGGCGTAGGACTCCAACTGGTTCTGTTTGTCCAGGTGTGGGAGGGGGCGGTGGTCCGCTGGCGTCCTGAGCCAGCCTAGCATTTTCGCACCACGGAAGCAGGAGCCTCTGTCCCCACGCTTCCCCACTTCCAGGAGAAAGCCACTACCACCCCCTGCTTCCATACATAAATACATTAGGGCTACAGACAAATCCTCATTGTTCAGAAATAAGCCGAGGAGGCCGGACGGTTCCCCTCAGCGAGGCAGAACGAGGCAGAGAGGATGGGTGGGAGGGAGGGAGGCGGGGGCCGCGCGGATCCGGTGTCGCGTTGCAGATTCCCACTAAAGATAACGAAACGTGATCTATTTTTCAGAACAGCAAGTGGATGGGAAAGAACCTTGACAACACAAAACTCATTTACTAATGGACTGGTTTTGAATTTCTCTTCCCTAGGTCCGCAAATCTCCCTTCCTGATCCCTTGGCCTAGTCAGTCCTTGCAGGCGACGGCGTCCTGCACAGGGCAGGTAGGCGGCAGCTCCCGAGCTCGCCCAGAATCTGAACCGGGTTCCCAAGGACCCGGGGCGCGAGCAAAAGCAGAGGAAAAAGATGACCTTGGCAGCCTCAGCTGGGATCCCAGTCTCTGCACTGCTCCATAGAGATGACCCTAGTTTATTGAGGATGCCCTTGACTTCCAAATCTGTAGGTAGGGTAGAAGCCCCAAATCCTTCTTGGTAAAGGAACTCCAAGAAAACCATCTGGGAGCCTCAAGGTATCTTGCTTCAAGCCAGGAGAAAAACAAGTAGGTCCCAGATACAGGATTTTGATCCGAGGCCTATGTCAACTCGGCAGCTCCTAATGTTTTTGCCTTGGACTTTCGGTCCACTGCTTTGTGGACCTGGCCATTACCTGCACTATAGAGGCATCGGGAGCCTCTCACCCAGCGTCACCCTGCTAAGTCCGGAAGCTGCCAGGGCAGCAGCAAGCAGGCTAGAGTTGTTGGGTTTCCTTTAAATTCCCGACGCATCTCTGCTTTTCATGCGATTTGCATTGACAGCAAAGGTTTTATATTACAGAACAGCTCAAACCTTTCTGTGCGCGATTTAAAATGGATCATTTGGTTTATGTGGTTTGTAAATTCATGTCATTTTACCTCTTTTAGTGGTTTTCAGTGAAAGGTTCCATTTGGGGAAACCTTATATATCCAAGCCAATAATTATCATTTATAACAATTGGTTCCCTTAACCGAGGGATCCAAATAGCAGGTAGGCTCCTTGGTACAAAGCATACAGCACTTTTCCTTTTCAGTTAAGTGATCTATTGGATTAAATGGGAGGGGGGGGAGTGTTGCGTGTCCAGAAACCCGCCCCGCCTCTGCCTCTGAGAAAAAGAACCTCTCATTTACCTCGGTGCCAGTTGTCACAGAACTTAGGCCACTCTTCTCTCCCCCCCCCCACTTGTCACCAGTGTCTGGTACAGTCCCAATTCTTTTTGAACAAAGATTTTTTTATAAAAAAAAATGGGCAGGGGGATCTGAAGGGTGCCAGAGAAATGGTGGTCATACCCTGCCGTCTCTCTCCTGTTGCCCTCTGAAAATGTATACCTGTAGTTATCTGTGGCTCTTTTCCCTATGAGGACTGTTAATTACAAAGTACATGCTGTGCTCAACGGACCCTTTGTCTTTTAAGATAAATGACTGTGCTTATAATCCTCCTCCCGTTTTAGTTGTGCTCACTTGGTCCAGACTTTAGGATACTGATTTTGAGAGCCCGTGTAAGTCCCCATTCTGGTCCTCACACAGCTGCCATGTCAATAGGGACTGTTCCAACCAGAGCTGGTCCTCTTGGCAGGACACTGTCGTTTCTTAAGACTTCGTCTGAAACGTCATGAGCCCTAAAATAAGACAGGGAGGGAAAATTACCAGGCTCATAGCCTAGGACTCAGCAGTGCCAGGCATCCAGTTTGGAAAGTAAGCCATTGGGCATTCCATGTGGCAGGAGCCCTTTTGAAATAATACACACCCATTATTTTTTTTTAAAAAAAAAAGCTTAAATGTAATGATGTATCAGCATCTGCTTCCAAGCGTTAATTGCATGGGATAGACTGAGTTTCAGGGAGGCAGAAAGCATTGTGTGGGAGCTCATCCTGGCAGAGCCTTTCTGTCTACTTGCATCTCTCAGGGGAAACAACCTTGAGGTGGGAACCCTTTATGAGTTTGAAATGCATGTTACAGGCTGTATTGGACTGGGTGCATTATTTTAAAACCATATAAATAATACAGAGGGAAACCCTTCTCTCACTTAGATCTCCAAATGCAAAAGGCTCTGTGGTGCAGTCTCTTTGGCTGATGAAATCAAAACATTGGAAGAAGACAAGCAAGCTTAAAGAGCCTTGAGTTTGCTCCTGGCCATTCTCTAAGAGGACACACTGAAATCAAAAGCATTTTTGAAGTGTACTTAAAATTCTGTTTTGAACTTATCTAATCAGAGATAAGTATAGTCATAAAGTCACTCTCCTTCCACCATTTGGCTCCTCTTATCTCCACACATTGTTCTTATCTGCTGCCAGTCTTAGCTACTGACAATAGATTATCTTTATTTAGAGAGGCTAATTGTTTTCAAAATCTTCTTAATAATTGCTTTGGAACAAGGTGTGCAAATGAGGCTTAAGATAATGACAGCTTCATTTGTTTGTGTAGTTTTACTAAAGCATTCTCCACACAGAAACAAAATAGCAGATGATGGGACTTAAATTGCAGGACACCTCTCATTCCCTGGCAGCAAAATAGGCCAGTATGGCAATACACACACGCACACAGGCATGCACACACACTTTATTTAATCTTGGAGCCACTGGGGTTCCAGCTTTGAGGGCAGTGTCCCTCTCAGAGGAGGGCAAGGATTATGTTACAGCTCGAAGGTTATTGGAGCTGGGCACAGTTTTGTTTAATTTACACCCCATCCAGAGTCTTTTTCATGAGATTCCCGATACATTTTTGCTAATGGCAAGTAAAGCTTTTCGGCATTCATCAGTAACAGAGGTGACGCTGAAAAACGCAACCGTGCAAATGGGGAAACTGAGTCCAGAAGTCTGTTGACAAGGGCAAGATACTAAACCACAAATAAAGCACGAGTGTCTGTCTCTATCCACTGGGCTATTGTGCCAGGGCCAACCCTTCTCCTAATGTCACGTCTAGAAGCACTTTGAGAATGAGGGGAATGTTGCCCAGATCAGAGTACGTGTGCCCTTTGGGAGGCTTAGGGGTTAGGAAGGGAAAGGGGGAGGAAATCAGGTTTGACTCCTGGAGCTGAAGTCTAACCTGGGAGAAGGCACTCCAGACAGAGTTGAAGCCAAACCCGGAAGAAGATACTCTCTGAGTGCCGGCAGCACAGAACCCTGGTCTGTTCTTGTATTATTTATCGCGTTCCATAAGCTATTCATCAATCCATTATTTATTCATCTCAACATTAAGGTAATTAAATATGAGCTCACCGGGAAAAGCCAAGACTGCAAGGGACAGGGATAGGAGTATGGTGAAGAGGGTCTTTAGAACGTCTGCAGCCATTGATTTGTGCAGAGGTGCGCGAGGCTCCCCTTAGGTGACACCAAAGAGGGCGCCGCTTCGCAAGGTCCTGACTTGCTCACCAGCCTTTCCAGTACCCTAGTTCCCTCCTCCTGACCCCACCCCACTTCCCACCTCTTCGGGTCCTACTCCTCCCACCACTCCTTCTCCCCAGCTAGGCAGCTTTGCCCTCCCAACGCCGGGCTGCTGGGCGGCGCGGCTTTGCTGCCCGGCCGGGCGGCGCGCAGGCTGGCCAGCTTCGGATAGGCGCCGCCCGCAGCCAATCAGCGTGCCGGGGACGCTGCGCGCTTTAAGGCTGCTGCGGGGAGAACAGAAACCAAGTTCTCCGGCTACAAGCAGCATCTACCCGGCGGCAGGCGGGAGCCAGAGAGGCCCGGAAGGCTGCGGAGTGCGCCAGCCACTCGGAGTCCAGCGCGCCCCTACGTCTCCTCGTCTTCCTACGCCTCCCACCCGCAAGGTCCGACTGGTCTCTTCGCCTGGGCCAAGCCTGGGAGGGGGTTAGGAGCAGCCGCGCCCCCCTCCCCGCGGCAGCCGCTACCCCCCCCCCCCCCACCTCCGCCCAGCTTTCTCAGATCCGCTCACAGCCGCGTGCGCCCGGGCCGGTGCGCCCAGGCAGCGCCAGCCATGTCGATGCTGCCGTCGTTTGGTTTTACGCAAGAGCAAGTGGCATGCGTGTGCGAGGTTCTGCAGCAAGGCGGGAACCTGGAACGCCTGGGAAGGTTCTTGTGGTCGCTGCCCGCCTGCGACCACTTGCACAAGAACGAGAGCGTGCTCAAGGCCAAGGCGGTGGTCGCCTTCCACCGCGGCAACTTCCGCGAACTCTACAAGATCCTGGAGAGCCACCAGTTCTCGCCCCACAACCACCCCAAACTGCAGCAGCTGTGGCTGAAAGCGCACTACGTGGAGGCCGAGAAACTTCGCGGTCGGCCGCTGGGTGCCGTGGGCAAATATCGGGTACGCCGAAAATTCCCGCTGCCGCGAACCATCTGGGATGGCGAAGAGACCAGCTACTGCTTCAAGGAGAAGTCGCGGGGCGTGTTGAGGGAGTGGTACGCGCACAACCCCTACCCCTCGCCGCGGGAGAAGCGGGAGCTGGCCGAGGCCACCGGCCTCACCACCACCCAGGTCAGCAATTGGTTTAAGAACCGGAGGCAAAGAGACCGGGCTGCCGAGGCCAAGGAAAGGTACGCGGCGTGCTAGCCCAGGCTCGGGCGACCCCGGGAAGTCTCACCCTTCGCTCCTTTTTGCCCACCTCAGCCCCCGCAGGCATCATTCCGGAATCTGTACCCGCCGGCAGCGAGCAGAGGTCCGTGGGGCGGCGCCCCGGCCTCGGCGACGCGGCAGTGAAAGTTCACGAACTCTTGAGGCTGCCTGCTAGGGATTGGGCCACATTTGCGTTGAGCACCCGCGCGTGGGTTTCTTTGGTGGGAAAGAGTGTCGACAACAGCTGGCTCTGGGTTTGTTCTTCCTGCCTTGCTGGCTGGATGCGGCGAAGAGAGGGGTTGGCCAGGGAGTCTGTAGATCGGAGGGAAGGGGTGTATTGCTTGGTGTACGCGAGGGAAGCTGTCCGGTGCGGTTGAGGGTCTCGAACCTCCGCCCTTTCTCTCCGATCTGGTCTGAGACGTCAACTCAGCCCCCAATGCCACCGGGCTCTTAACTCACTCTCTCCAGCTGGTGTATGGATGAGAGTTCATTCCTCACCAGTTGGACAAAGGGAGGAGTCTAGTGAAGAAATACCCTGAAAAGAGAGATCTGGGGGAGTCGCTACTGGGTGTCGTAACAGAGGCCCCTAGCCGGGAGAAGACTGCCGCCTGCCGCGCTCCCCTGTGCGTGGCCGGGTTGATTTCTCTGGCCCCGCCGTCGCTGCCTCGGGAGAGAGGCTACAGTCTCTGGCTTCTCCCGCCCTGGAGCTCCCAAGCAAAGCTATATTTGGGGGGGGGGGGGGCAGGGGAGTGAGGGGAGGTCTCTGCTCCTTCCTCCTCGAGCAGACACGGTTGCTGCTAGGCCGGGGCGGTTCGCAGCAGGGCTTCTGGCTGCTGTTCGGAGGCAATCCCGGCCGCGGGCGGCGAGCGCAGCGCAGCGCGGAGCAGAGCTAATGGTCTGGGGGACCCGGGCACAGGGCCCCGCAGGCTGCCCTTTGTTCGTTGGCATCCCCGGGACCGAAGATCTGGCTTCCACGTTTCCTTCTGGGTGGGAAACCACAGAGCCTGCCGAATTTCCGACGAAAGGAGCTCTCCGAAAGAGACCTTGCGAGGAAGGGAGAGTGCTGATGGGCGAGGGCTCGCCTAGGGGTGGTCGCCGACGCTCGGAAGGCGGAAGCGGCGAGCAGGGCTGTCCAGAAGTTGACTGGGACCGGGTGCGGGAACTGACACTCGGCTATGCCGGGTCGAGCGACGCCCAGCCGAAGCCGGGCGGCGAAATTTTCCCTGCTGAGACAGGAAGGGAGGCTATGGATTGTTGGCGAGCAGCTTGAGAGGACAGAAGGGGTTGAGAAACCAACTAGGAGCAAAGAAACAGAGATTGCACGGTTCCAGCTAGCCTTTAGTTCACAAAAAGGCGGGTCCCTGAAGCCAAGCAAGGGCCCACTCCTGGATGAAATCCGAGAGACTGGCTAAGCTCCCTGTGTTTACTCAGGGTCGCTGGGCCGCTCTGGGCACGGCTTCCCATGACCTGTCCTAGGTCTCTGAAACCCAAGTCTTCGGTCAGGGGCCGGGAAACTGGTCATCTAATTGTTTCCTCAGATGGTGGCAGGCCTTTGACTTGGGTCACCGCGAGCATTTGTGCAGTGGGCAGTTTGTCTCCTGACCATTTCTTATCTCAACAACCATTTGTCCGAGGGCTTCCAAACAGTCACTTGGGAGCACGGGACTAGTTGACGGGTCCTTTAACATAGCTGCTTGCACAAAATTGAAAGCACATTAATTTTTTTGCTTATTTTAAATAAACACGCTCACCCGAGTTTGAGGAGTATGGAAGAAGCGGGGCTATCTCCAGGCAACAGGCTCCCCATTTCTCTAGTTGGCCTCCACCTTCCCCCAATGACCCTTGGGGATGGGTGGGAGGCAGAGCTCCTCCATTTGGGTTGGTGACAGATTGCACAATGGCCCTTTTCTCCTTCCAGCCCCCCCTTCACCTCACACTTTTTTTTTTAACCATATGGTGTTGTCCTCTATTTCTCAGGGAGAACACTGAAAACAATAACTCGTCCTCCAACAAGCAGAATCAACTCTCTCCTCTGGAAGGGGGCAAGCCGCTCATGTCCAGCTCAGAAGAGGAATTCTCACCTCCCCAAAGTCCAGACCAGAACTCGGTCCTTCTGCTACAGAGCAATATGGGCCACGCCAGGAGCTCAAACTATTCTCTCCCAGGCCTAACGGCCTCACAGCCCAGCCACGGCCTGCAAGCCCACCAGCATCAGCTCCAGGACTCTCTGCTGGGCCCACTCACCTCCAGTCTGGTGGACTTGGGTTCCTAAGTGGGGAGGTACTGGGGTCTTGAAGGGACGGCTGGAGAAGCAACCAACATCAACAACTAGAGACACTTGTACATAGACGGAAGGAACAGTTTTGCAGCTTGTCTCTGGGGTTCTTTGCGCATAAAGGAATGATGGGCTTTCACAAATGTCTTTTTAAAAAAATCACAACCAACAGCGATCTCAATTGAGTATAGTCTCCCTCTTCCCTCAACTCTTAATACTCTTGCATTTCCCCTCCCACTGAAAGGTCAGGAAACAAAGCAACTAGTCCTGGATAACCCAGACATTCATTTCAGTAGCCGCCTCCTCCACCTCTTCTTCCACCTCTTCCCTCTCCTCCTCCTCTTCTTCATCTTCTTTTAGTGAAGAAAAATTACGAATCAACTGTATTTTAATTATTTCCTTTTTATTTATTGATGGAGAAATGGTTTAGGGAAGAGGAAAAGGAAACGAAGAGAAAGAGAGACATGACAAAGAAAATAAAAACAAAAACAAATTGAAAAAAAAACCCTCCAGGCTGAGAGGAGCTGGCTGCGTTCTTAAGATGAATAGGAAAAATAAAATCATAACTGTTTTGATGGGGAAAATTAAGTTTACATTTTTCATATTTAGTGTTAAATAATTTTATGTAGATTAAAATAAAAGAACAGTATTAGTGGGGGAAAACAAGTGCCTAAATGTCTTAATGCTCTCTATGTGAGGTGGCTAGAAATAGAAGTGGCATTAGTAATACAACTATTTTTGTCAAATTTAGTGGGGTTTTTTTGGTGATTGTTTTCTTTCTTTTTCTTTTGCTTATGACAAACTCTAACAGTGTACCAACAAGGGAGGGGAAGCCACTTTCCTAACCGTCCTCACTCCTACCCTCAGGACTTTCCTACCGCAGGCTGCCTCTGCTGAGAGGACCGTCTATTCCTACTTTCTTCTTGCACAAAGGTGCCAACAAACCTGGCAACCTGGGATTTGTTACTAAAACAGCAAGTGTTTCTAGGCTTCTTTTCTATTGTACCCAAACCAGTCTAAATTAAAACTCAGTAGACCACCAGGAGTTTGATTCTGTTTCTGAGAAAGGTGAGTCCTGTATTGCTGTCATTGGGCCTATTTAGAAACAAGTCTGCTTGCTTACTTAGGAATAGTTATGAATTACAGGTTATTTTTGAAGCCTGTTACCGGAAACCAAGAAAATAGGTTAATGATATGACAAAAGAGACGACATTTAGCCTTAGGTATTTATTTATTTTTTATTATTTAGTAATGCAATTTTGTTTACCACTGTTTCTTCTCCACAGCATTCATGTTAACTCGGCTCTTCTGTGTTAACAGCTTATGAAAAGACTGTGAAAGCAAAAGTAATTTATCTGCTTTTTTTTTAAAAAAAAAAGGGAACTCGAACACGGATTTAAAATTACGAATTGATCTGTACAAATAAAAAGCAGGCCATCGGGAGCTCTTTTCTCAGATAGTGTCCAGAAAAATCCCAGTGATCATGAAGCCTCCATGTTCTTTTTTGCCTGGGGCAAAATGATGTATCTTCTGTATTTAGCTTTTAAGACTAGTGAAACAAATGGCATTATTTATTAAAATTCTACTCAGGATAACAGGATTGGCTTGCTTGTGCTTTGTAAAATATTGTTCCCCAGGGAGAGTCTATTTATTTTTTGACATGACAGTTTCATAATTTTGATTTTTCCTCATCTATAAATGTCAACATTAATATATTTCTTTTCTACCTTTCCCTGTAGTTCTTGACCTGAATGGAATGGGGTGTGGATGTGTGTGAGATTAAGGCCGCCCTATCATGAGTTTTCTTTTCTTTTTCTTTTTTTTTAACTGTCGAATTGTTTGCGTTTAAAAGAGAAATGGTCACTGGTTTTAAATATAGTCACTTTTACTTATAATGCCATTTTCCCTTGGTGATGGACAGATGTGCACACAGCCGCTCAGAGACCATCATTTGGGCTTGGAGCTCCGGGTCCCAATCTCCCTTGTTAGTGTTTTGGATCATTAAGTCGGTGTTTATTTAAGTCACTAGGGTGTTTATTCTCCACGTCTTGGGCCACGGAGAAATGCCACCCTCTGCAGGAGGGGGCTCTCCCAGGGAATCTCCACACATTCTTCGCATTCACGCCCCAAAACAAACACCCGGCCCAAAGATAGCTTTCGGTGACCCTGACAGGCTTCAAAGGAGACCGCGGAAATCTCTCTGGAAAATAAGGAAGGGCCAATTACTCTAATTTCTTACATGCCCTCGCTTCCTACTCCGACTACCCCCCAGTCTTGCAGCTCCTCTTGGCATAATTGTAGCGTCGTGGAAGTTCTGTCTCCCAGGGCGCGCCGGCCCACTTCCTGCTCCTTTGGTTGGTGGAGCTTGGAAAAGTCTGCAGGTCTGGCTAGCAGCTAAGACGGCGGGTCCTGTAAAAGCCCCCGTGATTACTGCTTGTAAACTCGTTAAAAGGACAGTTTTCTGTCATAGCCATAAACTCTTTGTAAAATCCCTGGCACTCGATCCAGAATGCGCATATTCCAGATGTGTTTAATAAGACATTGCACAATCCGCCTCTCTCTGCCATCCCCAGCTCAGTCTGGCTAAGAGCGGGACAAGCAGGAGGAGGCGAGAAAGCTGGATATTGCTCTGAGTTTTGTTGGCAATCATTTTAGAGCGATCATTACGGGGGGGGGGGGTAACTAACTATATTTTTTCCCTCGAGGAAATCTCCGAGAACCAGCTGTTGAGGAGCATCCAATTTACTTTCTTGGAGTCAAAGTTTAACCGAATGTGGAGCCTCTTTTCGTTTCTCCTCCGCAGATTTCATAGCGCTAGCCAAAAATTAATTGTTCAGCCTCTTATAAAGAAAGTGGTTTTAGGACAAAACTTCACAGCATTTGCCAAGTGAAATTAAAAATAAAACCCACCAAATCGAGCGATGATTTCAAAACGTCTTCAATCTCAATAAGAGGTCTCTGGGACCCGGCTGTCTTCTTTCCTTCTCCCGTGATCCTTTGGCTCAGAAAGACGCTTCTTAAGTGATCTGAGGCTAAAGGGTTTGGCCAGAAATTCCTGAGTCTTTGGCTTGGCAGGTGGGGATTCAAGAACCTGGACTCGAGATCCCTGGAGCTGGTCGCTGTAGGTACTGAATCTATTTTCTAGGTAAGGACAGCTTGGTCTTCATCTTGAGATAGGGTGGAAGCTACCAGTGGGACCGCGCTGGTGGCCTAGCTCCAAGTTTGCGAAGTACTGACTCCTGACTCCGTTGACTCTGGTCAGGTCGCCTTCCCTGCAAGCCACCGAGGGCCCTCTGAGCACCAGGTACCGCACCCCAGCACACTTGCCCTCCCTCCGGCTGTGCAGCCCCCCACCACACCTCCCCCTGCCCCGCTTGCAGAGACCGCATTCGTTGCGGCCTCCCATGCCTGAAGGTCTTTCAAGGGGGCCCACGGGCAGGACTCCAGACCCAAGATCAAGAGGCCGGTGACCTGTGCTTCTTTGCTTGCAGAGAACTGGGGGTAGGGTAGGGGGTGGGTGGGGGCGTCTGTTCTCTGCCCTCCGGAGAGGCTGTTGGTGCCACTTTGCATTGAGGGGGCAAGGGCAGTCCTGGAGGACCTCTCTGCTACCAAGAGAACCGCACCTGTCTCAGGACCCGGATTTTTAGGAGGCTCCAGGCACAGGGTCTGGTGGTGCAAAGTCCCTGATAGCAGAAGAGGCCAGGCAGGCCTCAAGTGAGAAAATAAGGCCTTGGGTTGAGCCTTGTGAGACAAAACAGCGGCTCATCTTGGGCGTCCGGGATCATCTCCCAGACTCAAGGCTCGGTCTCATTGTTGAGTTTCTAGCACTAGAGTGGCACGGGACGCTCCATGGCAGGGTGACACCTGGCCTTGAAGTGGACTAGGTCTCCGGGCTGCATGAGACTTCCTGAGCAGGTGTCAGGGCTCCTGGGCTTCTTCAACGTCAGCTCTGGCCCGGAGTCTCTCCTCTTGCGACCTCGGCCTGGCGGCCCATTCCCCAGCGGCCCTTCCCACTAGACTGGGGCCCTGTCTTTGGTTCTGTGGTTTAAACGCCTTACTCAAATGCAATCCAAGCAGTGCCAAGCAGGGAAATGGCCTATTTGGGAGCTAGTCGCCATTTCTACAGTTGGGGAGTGGCACCTGGCTTCTAAAGTATATCCTTTGTGGCAGAGAAGTAACTTTGTTCCCAGTGTAACCCGGTTGCGGAAGGGGTGAGGGAGCAGCTACCTTTGTCCCCTTTGTCCAGTCCGGGACCCAGAGAGAAGGCGGCAGCCCACCTGCCAGCATTCTTGTGTACACAAAACCCAGATTTAACAGAGGTGGATGGTATGGACAGGCACAGGTGGGTTATTCCTTTTCCAAAGCTTTCTCCCGGAAGACTCTAAAGAATCCTAGATCACCTCCTTCCGCCCAAAGCAGAGGAATCTGTGTCTGTGGCCACTACTTCTCGCATTTCGCAGTGAGGGCACCAGAGGACTTAGTTCCATAGGTGCGGGTATGCTGCGTTACCTTAGCCAAGTGGGGACTTTGAGCACCCCAAGTTCATAGAGACTCCTTCGCCTGTCTGACTGGGTCCAGAAAATCCACCTGGGAACGTCTCTAGGTGCGGGGGAGGGGGAGATGGCAAGAGGTAGGTGAGCCAGCAGGAAACAAAAACTATAAAAATTATGTACGAAATGTTGGCTTTTCTTCTACCTCGTTTTCTTGCGCGTTTTAAACTCAGCAAACACACACACACACACACACACACACACACACAACTTCGTTCCAGCTGATGAAATCGGAAACCTGTTCTCCTACTGAGGATGACAATCAGGGTTTTAGACGCTGTGGTCCTTTCAGACAGCGAGAAACAACACCGCAGTAGCATTTAAAAACAAAGCAAAAGAGACTGCTGGAGGCGCGTGGAAAGCCGGAGGTTCTCCGAGCCGCGCCTCAGATCTTCTTTTAACTTGTTAATGGACAGCTGAGCCCGGGGTTCTCGGCAGGTAGAGTACGGTCTCACAGGGCTTTTAGGAAAGGTACACACTGTCGTCTGTGACCGTGATCCGAAAATATCCGCCAAGGTCAAACAGAACAATGTAGGAAAGAAAAGAAAACTGAAAACCAAACATCAAAACCAAGTCCTATTATTGAAAAGGCGAATAGATTACCTTTAGATGTTACACATACTTCTGTGTGCCTGAAGTGGCCTCTCAATTGTAATTTAAAATGTGGAAAGATTCTGAGTGACATTCTTCTTCCTTATCGTTAGTGATTGTCATTGAAAGAAAAAGAGGCAGAGAGATTCTGGACCTTTATATAATAATACAGACTGCAAATTATACCACCTACATCTGTCTGGTCCCCTTTCTGCACTTCCCTCAAAGTTATTTAAAAAAAATAACATATACTTTATGATAAGGACACAGGTAGAATCACAGGCTGACACCTCCAATTTTACTTTAATATGCAGTACAAGTTAGTTTAATTTGGACTTTAAATGGATTACGACTTTTAAAACGCCATGACTCATTCATGAAAGAACCAACTTTGGAGGGGGAGCTGGGAAATTGGTGGTGGCTCAGGATCTGAGTGGACATTCATGTAGAATTAAAATAAGGGTCCCAGATTATGCATTTTTACTGACACAAAGACACCGTGTCATGAGATTCTTACAGAATACATCTCATGGTCAGTGTCCTTGATAATCTATAGATTCCAGGCAACACGTCTGTAAAATGGACTTTTGAGGAGTTCTATTGACATTAAGTATTTTTTACAAATTCAACTACTCTCCCACCCTCTGGGCACACAGGTTTTTTTTTTTTCCTTTTGCCCTCGGGCAAGGCTTTAGCTGCTTTGCTAAAATTTCTAATTTGACTTTCCAGTCACTTAAGTGGTTTAAATACTAGGAAAAGACAATGGGATGGTGACCCCTGCCTCACCCAAGAACAAAATAAAACAATCCAACACCCCCAGCTCACCTAAGTGTGACATCTTTGGTTGGCTCGCACACAAATATTATGTGACTGTATCCATCTGCCTGCGGCCAGCGTCGCGGTGTTGGGGCCTGGGGGGCGGGGTAGATGGAAACAAGCTCACAGAGAGTGAGAGGCTTTGCCCTGCAGTACTGAGCAGAGTTAGTTGTACCTCTCAGCCCATTTAGTCAAGGAAGACGGAACTAGTGATGATTTTATATAGAATTGCTTTGAAGGTGGAAGTCAGTGCAGCCATCTCTAAAGGTTGCTCTAGAGAGAATGTCAGCGCTCTCAGTGTCTATGAGGTGAAGAGAATATTCAACAACCAAACCTTTGTCTGCCTTCAGACGCGTGTGCTGCGTATCTTTTAAGCAGTGCTGATGC